TGAGTGTGTGTGAGTGACTGAGTGTGTGTGTGTGTGTGTGTGTCTGTGTGTGAGTTAGGGCTGTGCGATATGGACAAAAAAAACCTATCACGATTTCTGTTGATCAATCTTGCGATTTCGATTTTAATCACCATTTTGACACACACAGACATGCTTTACAGTCATTTGTGGTGTTCAGACGGTGAGCAGATCCTGAAGTCGAGCACTGCGACTGTCCTGACAGTGAGTTTATCTCCAGCACCTCCTGATAACAATCAGTTCTGCTCATTTCTGTTGTTGGATTTGTTTGTTCTGCTGGTTTGATTTTATTTAAAGAAGTTTTAGTTGCATGAGATTCCAGCATAACATTAGAACCATGCACCACAGCAGCTGGAGTTCATTTCCATCTCAAACACCTAACCTACACCGACTCTTTAACTGAATCCCTGTGAATGCACTAAATTACTGTTTATTATTCTTAATATTTTTGTGAGGTACACTGGTGTACTGAATGTTAAAGATGTTCCAAAGATATGAAAGCAATGTTTACTTTTTTCTATAAAACCAAGTAAATAAAACCATTTTGCAAATAATACCGTGTTTTATTTTTTTGTCTGTGTATGCGTGTGGATTTTATTCTGATTTGAGAACTGAAATCATTGATTCTTGTCTTCTGAATTCAAAGAGCAGGAACATCAGCAAGATTCCAGTGTTCAAACCAAACTCCAGATGAACGGAATAATGAAGTTAAATGAGAACAGAACTCATCAGTTACACGCAAGATTAACTAAAACATTCGAGCTGAAGCGCAGCCTGAGGTTTTTTAGGACGCACTCTTTTGTGTTTAACAAGCAATGTGTTTCGATTATTCGCGCTTTCATACGCAACAGTGTATATTTTGCTAGTATTCACATGTATTGAAACGTCTGGTCTATAAAACAAATATTAAAAGCATATATATAAGGTTATGGCAACCGCTAGCGAGTCTGGTTTGGCGCCAGACTAATAAGCGCGAATTTACGCAGGTTTGAATTTAGCGGTTAATGAACGCGCTAAATAATCGCAGCCAGTCTGTGACGAAAGTTAAAAGTGTGTAAAATATACACAAACACCTGCGTCTTACCTGCTCAAACTCCACGCGTGGCTGCGGTCATTCCATGACGTCATCGTCCACGTTCAGCTACATTCAAAAGCGTCATAACGTCATTCAGACCAGCAGCACGCGGCTACTCGATTGTTTGCTCATTTGAATATTCTAATTTCAGCGTAGTGACGTCACTCACGCCACTTCTGCTATCAAAGTCATACACATGAAAAAATATGAAATATCCTTTACAATAGTTTTAGAAATAAAGGTGGAAAATGAAAAGTAGAAGGGATACGGCTATACGGCCGAAAACTAACAATAAATTAATTTTTCTATCCATTACATTGTGTTTTATTAAAGGTTTAGTTCACCCCAAAATGAAGATTCTGTCATTAATTACTCGCCCTCATGTGTTCCAAACCCGTAAGAGCTTCGTTCATCTTCAGAACACAGATTAAGATATTTCTGATGAAATCTGAGAGCTCTCTGACAGCAAAGCAACTGAAATGTTCCCAGACCCAGAAACATAGTAAGGACATGGGGAAAATAATCCATGTGACATCAGTGGTTCATCCGAAGCTATGAGAATACTTTTTGTGCGCAAAGAAAACAATAATAACATAATTTATTCATCAATTCTTCTTCCGCCATTTTGGAGAGTAGCCCAGAGCGTAATCAGCGTTGTTGATGCCCGCTTTCTACTAAACGTAAACAATGCTGATTATGGACATGGACTATTTTACCAAATCTGCTTGCTATGTTTCTGGAGCTGGGAACATTTCAGTTGCCTTGCTGTCTATGAGAGGATCAGAGAGCTCTCGGAGTTCATCAAAAATATCTTAATTTGTGTTCTGGAGATGAACGAAGCTCTTAAGGGTTTGGAACGACACGAGGGCGAGTAATTAATGACAGAATCTTCATTTTTGGGTGAACTAATGCAAATACACTAATTATCGTTGTTCAGAGAAAAAGCACGCAATATTGATGTGCGCATGCGCAGTTAACTCTCTGACAGGTAGATTCAGGGGCGTGTCTAGGGGGGTGATTGACACAGTGATAACCATAGCAACAGACGGGACAACATGTGAAAATGTGCATTAAGACTAGAGCACCCTCACTAGTTTCAGAAGCACCCTCAGTGGTTATTTTTATTGTATAGCCTTCAAAAACAACAAAATGCAAATGCACTAAATAAAATAATTTAATAAATGCATTACAATTTAAGCACTTAACTAAAATAAGTATTAAATAATTGAATAAATAACTAGAGAAGGCTGACTAGAACCAGTTTGCTTCTATTTAGTAAGAAGAGCCTAGAGTACAGTTTAACATGATCTCCACAGAAGCTTTCAGTGGCTGGTTTTTTAATAAGCGCTTTTTTTTTTCTTAGTGTGAAGAACATTTTAACAATTTAAAGAACGCTTTTCCACTTTTAATCGAAAGGTTAATCGTTCTTCATGAAGTCATCAGTGCTAATACTGAACCTTTGCAGAAGAACTGTTTATTCTGGTCCCTCTGTAATTATTTGTTTGGGTTTATGAACAAATTATTAGTCAGTAAATAAGATGCAGTCAAGAAGTTGACGTTTATTCATGTGGTCATATGAACAGATGTGAAATAAATAAATACAAATGAAGCACTGGGATGATCTATCAGTTCAGCTCTTCATCAGTGAGTCCTTCATCATCTTCATCTTCATCATCAGCACAGGAGGCCGATGTCGTTTTTAGTGCAGCCCCGATTGCAGCACATTCCCGCCAGTCCCAGAGAGAAGTTCCGCCTCCGCCGGTCGCCGGTTTCTCTCTTCCGGTCGCTCAGAACAGACAGCAGATCTGAGAGAGACGGGCTGAGCTCTTCATCTCTGTCCAGCAGCAGCTGACCTGCGACACACACACACACACACATGCACACGCACACACGGCCCATCATGCTTCAGTCTGATGACTGACAAATATATGGGTTTATGATGAGATGACTCGGTTCAGCACGTTTAATAATAAGTGACGTATTAAAATATAGATTTTCTAATCAAACAGCTGTAAATGGTGACATTAGCTAATTCCTGACATTATTTTCATTTACAGATTTGTCTTGTATTAGTGGTTTCGTATTAATAATAGAGCTCATCGCTCTGGAATTCATATTCTTGTGTTTTCATTCATAAATTAGGCTAGATCTCAAACACAGACTGACCAGCAAATAAATCATTTCTGTTGCTTGGACTTTTTTCTTGTAATAAATGCAACATTGAGATATTTAAATAAGCTAGTACTTCAAATCGTTCCTCTTTTTAATAGTTATGGTTCTAAATAAGCAAAGTTATTGTTGATGAGGATGATGATGATGATGAAGTGCAAGTACATAATGTGGTGGTTTTGTAGCATGCTGTTATTTTAGTATCACTGAGATACTATTATAGCTTTATAACATTTTTATTAGTTTTTATTTTTGTATTTTCCTTTTACATTTTAAAGTTTTAGTAATTTTTTTTTTTTTTTCATTTTTATTCGTTTTATCTTTTATCTGTCTATATAGTTTCTATTAGGCCTATTTTATTCCATTAATTTCACGTTTTAGTCATTTCTAGAACATCACTAAACTAAACGCAAATAAGAAATGTTGCTTAGCTGAAATAAAACGTTTAAGTTTTATATATGTAGGCTATATATTTCAGAAAACGTCTATTTTATTTGAAGTTCTTTAGTTTTTGTAAGATCATAATAACCCCGGCCAGGCAGGAGGATGACTGTAAGTACAAACTGATGTGATGACGCTGGTGTTCTGCTACATGCTGTCTTGTGTGATGAAGGTGGTGATGATGATGGTGATGGTGATGAAGGTGAGCAGTACCGGGCTGAGAGGCGCTCCTCCGCCACCGGGAGCCTCCGCAGGTGAAGATCACGGCTCTGATGAACTCGCGGCCGCACAGTTTCACTCCGAAGTCTCTCTGTAAATCCTCGCTCCCGCGCACACACACCCCACACACACACACCAGCAGAAGCGCCGAGAGCACGCCAAACATCTTCACACACAACATTAACACGAGCTTATGAGAAAACACAGAGTTCCTCGAGCCGCTGCTTTCTGATGATTCTCCATCAGCTCACGCAGACTTTATACAGACACGGACTGACGTCACACACACACACACACAAGCACAGTCTCACTCACACACACACACACAGAAACACACACACACAGTCTCACTCACTCACACACACAGAAGCACACACACACACACAGAAACACACACTCTCACTCACAAACAAACACACACACACACACACTCACTCACTCTAACTCGCACACAAACACACAAACAAAGACACACAGAAACACACACTCGCAAACAAACACACACAGAAGCACACACACACAAAGACACACACACACACTCTCACAAACAAACACACACTCTCTCTCACACACACACAAACACACACACACACTCCAACTCACACACACACTCAGAAACACACACACACACACTCTAACTCGCACACAAAGACACAAACACACACACAAACAAACACACACAAAGACACACAGAAACACACACACAAAGACACACAGAAAACACAAACACACAGAAACACACACACAAACAAACACACCACACACAAACAAACACACACACACTCACAGAAGCACACACACAGAAACAAACACAGAAACACACACACAGAAGCACACACACACAGACAGAAGCACACACAGACAGAAGCACACACACACACACACACAGACAGAAGCACACACACACACACACACACACACACACACACACACACACACACACACACACACAC